CGCTGTAAAATGGAACAGTTGCTTTTGTGAATGAAAAGCATCTTTATAGGATGCAGTCATGGGAGGAGCCTTCTGATCTGAGGGGGTTCTTTCTGTTTGCCCCCACCCCAGCCATGAGTTCCTTGTTGCATGCCAGGGCTTCCACTTCTGTTAGCGGTAGCTCCGTGCAACCCCCGTGAAAGCTGAAGCTGGGAGAGGTGGATGGTTCACTTCAGGCACAGCGTATGTTACTTCCTTGGTGAGCTGGAACTGACTCGGGAAAACAGTCCCAGTTCCTTTTTAACAGTTGGGTGAATGCAGACATCCTGACCGTGTGCGGACACAGATCCACACGTTTCAGCTCCGCTTCTAACACCTTCCTTCCCCTTGCCTTGCCCTGCTTCTGCTGCCATCCCTGCAGTGGCTGCCTGGCAAGAATGGCAGGGTAGTTTGTTGTCTGGCTGCCAGGGCAGATTCTGAGGGGCGAATGGCACCCCGGAATGCCGGGAAATCAGCCCCCAGTGCACGTCTGGCTGCTGGCACAGAACTACGAGGCTAGGAGACTGACTGATGAGAGGGGAGGTGTGTGCGGGATGCTGTGCTCTGTGAAGTATGGGATCCAGCTGTGGAAGCGGATTTACCTGCTGCGTACGCTGGAGGTGTGACAGAGCCTCTGTACGTAAGACCCGTGGCTCAGTACTGCTGGATGTCTCTTTGCACTGCTCTTAATGAACACTGAGCTGCTTTGTTCCTCCTATTGCTCATTCAAGGAGGAGAGGCAGACTGTAGGCATCGCAGGCTGGACATGTAGCTTTCCAGGCCCATTAAAGGAAAGGAAACACAGGGAACAGTGCAGAGTAAACAGGCTTCAGTGAGCTTCGCTTCCAACAGGAGTTAACTGAACACACGAGACCTAGCTGACTCAGTCGCAGAGGCGCACTGCTTACTGTGCGGTAAGCGCCGTATGAATTACTGTTGTCATTTCCCCTTCGTTTTTTCCAGTTTTGTATTTTCTAGCTGATTTCCTTACTACCTTGTCTTTCCCACCTACTTCTGCTTTCAGCTTGACTGCAAGAGATTCCCTACCTTCATCCCCCAGTTGCTCTTCCCCACTCACCTGCCAGTAACTTCAAATTCATTTGCCGGTTTCAGTCAAATTTAATAGAGGTGTGAAAGGCCTTAACTTGACATTCATTCCGAGTCTTCAGGAAGAAGAAAGCAGCACGCTAGAGCAACCACTGAGCGAACCAGTTGTCTCGTTTGCCTTGCCGCTGGCCAGTGAGACCCCGTACGGCTCGTAGCAAGACAAACACAGCACACTGCCGTGCGCTCAGCCACTGAAAAGCATGGAAGGCAGCAGAGGGAGTGGGGGAGGAGAAGGTGAAGCGAGGGAAGGGGGAGCTTCAGACAATGCGACGGACGTGAAATGGGAAGCTAGAGCTACTGCAGGAGGTAGCGGGACATGGGATCCAACTTAATGGGAAACCAAGATGCTGCCAGCACAGGCATGTTGTTTGTCTGTGTTCTTCACGTAAAGAAGGAAAGCAGCGTACAGCCAGCACGTAATGATTTTTCTGGGTGCTAAACAAGAATGATCATATGTGTAAGCCAAATGTTCATCCAACATCCAACCCATGACTCTTGTGGAATATTGTTGGTTTATGCCAGCCAGGTCTACTCCATATTCTGGGCTGTATCAGGAGAAGTGTGGCCAGCAGGTCGAGGGAGGGGATTCTGCCCCTCTACTCTGCTCTACTCTGCTCTTGTGAGACCCCGCCTGGAGTGCTGCGTCCAGCTGTGGAGCCCTCAACATCAGAAGGATATAGACTGGTTGGAGGGAGTCCAGAGGAGGCCACGAAGATGCTCAGAGGGCTGGAGCCCCTCTGCTATGGGGACAGGCTGAGAGAGTTGGGCTTGTTCAGCCTGGAGAAGAGAAGGCTCCGGGGAGACCTTATAGCACCTTCCAGTACCTGAAGGGGCTACAAGGAAGCTGGGAGGGGACTTTTTACAAGGGTCTGTAGTGACAGGACAAGGGGGAACAGGGTTAAATTGAAAGTGGGGAGGTTTAGATTGGATATCAGGAAGAAGTTCTTCCTGGAGAGGGTGGTGAGACAGTGGAACAGGTTGCCCAGAGAAGCTGTGGATGCCCCATCCCTGGAAGTGTTCAAGGCCAGGCTGGATGAGGCTTGGAGCAACCTGGTCTAGTGGAAGGTGTCCCTGCCCATGGCAGGGGGGTTGGAACTTGATGATCTTTAAGGTCCCTTCCAACCCAAACCATTCTGTGATTCTATGATAAGCTGCAGATTCCTACTTCTCCATGGGCCCAGGGCTTATAGCCCTGAAGGGTTTCTGTGTTCCATTCTAATACAGTTTCACATTGATTTCAGGGTTGCCCCTTCCCCCTCGTCTGGAGAGAGGCAGTCTGGTAGATTCAGCAATGCCTGGAGTTGGAGCCTTCGCTCATTATGAGCGTTGCGAAATTGTCCATTCTGGGAAGTTCAGTGCTGATCTTTCTCACACACGGCACAGCAATCAAAGAACAGCTCTGGGAGATAAATCGTGTACGGATAAGTGATTCCCCTCCTTTGTGTTGTGCAGTCTGTTGCACTGAGCAATACACAGAATTTCAGTCTCCTTTACCAAGATTTGGGCTCGCCCGGGGAGGTGTCACGCTGGTGCTTCCAGTGTGCCCACGGCTCTGAGCAGCGGTGCGTTGCAGCTGGCTTTGTCCAGTCAGCTGGGGAGCAGAAGCTGTAAAGTGAATCCTTTGGTGTCTCAAGGCTGCTCCCCTCGCAAAATGAATCCCAAACCTCCATTTTTCAGACAAATTACATGGCTAAATTGTCCTTGGCTGGGCAGTTTCATCTCTTTTAGGACTGTATTTAGCCAAATAAAAGGTGGAAGGAATTCATCCAAGAAGGGGAATGGAGGGAAAAAGAGAAAAAAGCTATGCTGTTCAGATCCACTTGTGGCTTCAGCTTGCTCACTGCCTTGCAGTACAGCTCAGCTCCTCAATCGATTGCACAGTGAAGAATTGGGCTTTTTACTCAGTTTTCACTTCAGGTTTCTGACCCTTGCTCCGAAGAGGAGGGAATGGGCAGACCAAGATATTAATTTCCCTGTGGTTATGCCCTGAAAGGGAAGAAGGAGGCATCTGCATCCTTTCTTACCGTAGCTGGCTTGTGTAACTGGGGAGTCACTTTAACTCACAGAGGTGAAAAGGATTATCCCACCCTCCCCACAAAAGAAGGGGGGAGGGAAGAGGCTTTATGTTTCCAGGAAATGGTTACTCTACAAAAAGAAAGGCTTAGGGGGAGAGGCAGTCCAGTGTTCAAAAGCATCAGTTACGTGTATGTATATGCAATGAAGGGTGCTGGGTAAGTAATAAAATGCAGACAGGTGTTACATAGTCACAGACCCTCCTCTTTTATGGCACTGCACTGAAACAAACAGCCCTTGTTCACACCGAGATGCACCATTTTTCAATTATTTCATTAGCTAAGTGCTGAGGCCATGTTTTTCCTAATCTCTTCAGAAGGTGTTAAGACTTTTTTAGGTTTCACCAGCCCATGGTCACCGTTTAACTACTGGCTGCTGCAGAGCCTGTACTTCCTTCCAGCCCCAGTTAGAAGTGGTTTAGATGAGGTGGGAAGGCCAGCACAGCATGGCATCAGGCTGGCGGTACGCTTCATCACAACAGACGGAGCCAGCTGGCCCCGTCACCGTGGAACCCATGCTGGTTTGTGCATCAGCAGGAGAGACCCACGGGCCGCTGTGGGCACTGGGCAGAATGGCAGGGGTCGTAAAGAGAGGGCTAGAGGGTGGGATAGGCTTGTTCGGTCAAGCAGCTAAGGCCACAGATAAACACCTTGCTAGCAAATGGCTGCTGTGGAATAAGCATTCGGTGCCACCCAGTTGTTTGTTCTCACCCCACTGGCAGCAACGAGCTCCTCCTCCCGCACAGGACTGGCGCAGGTACCACTGGTTCACACCTCAGCCCAGAAGCTGAGGGTTGGACTGTAGAGGCCAGACAACGTGAGCCGGTGCCGAGCCTGCCCTTTTCACCTAGAGCTCTGGCTCCCACTGGCGAGGGCTGTAGACTTCATCAGAGGTGCAGGAACAAGGAGTTGGCAGCCTGCGTCTTCCATAGCCGTTGGCTACGCAAACCTGTGTCGGTGCTCTGAGGGGCAGGATAAAACCTACACAGATGTG